GCTGGGGAATTCTGGGAGTTGAAGTCCACCCGTCTTAAAGTGGCCACGGTCGAGGAACCCTGATCTAGAGGACCATAGATATCGGGCCTAGTCCGGCCTTGGCATATGTAGTGAACTCCATCATTGTCTTGAGTGTCTTTGGGTCATGATAGTTAATAGTTGTTGGTTGACCTCTCCTTCTTTTATTTGTTCAACTTCCTTTTAAATTTAAGTCAGGGCCAATCAACCCATCCTAGGATAACAAATCTGTACTGTACCAAAGAGCATTTGCCAGAGAAAGGATGGAAAATAAAACCTATGCCAATTTTTCCAAATATTATATTCTGTGGAAGGGTTGGGTCTGCAAATCCCAGAATTCCCAGCATATCTGCAAGGTTTAGGCTGGGAAAGCTTCTTTAGCATCAGCTCTAGTCTTGAGGAATGACTAACCCCAGCTCTGCCCCAGAGCCTGTTACGTATTTTAAAAAACATTGTGAAGTCAGTCTGCAAAAGCGTGCTTGTTTCTACTTAACAATTATTTTCATTACTTTATAAGGGTACTTTTAAAAAAGGCTCTCTTTTAAACATCATCCTCCTGGCCAATTTTTATGTAAGCTGGGTTGTAGAGAGCACTCATCATGGACTGCTGCCCAGCTACTTTCGTGGCCATGGAATAAAAACAAGGGCTTCTTTCAAGTTCCAGTTGTTCTACATGGTGGTACATTGAAACAAAAGCCCTATTCTGCCCCAAGATCAGGTCAAACTCTAGGCCATGGAGTATTTTGTTCCAAACTTGGAATATTTGAAACAAACATATCAGATTTGGAACCTTTCAAGATAGGGGAATTTGCACACCTTATTGTGTTGTTTTAAATATTAAGCAGATAGTTGTGAGGACTATTGCAGATGTGGCACTATTCACTGAACTAGTAATTGCTCCAACATGGGATTATATGTGCAATTTCAGTAAGCAGTTGAAGTCTACCCTCCTCTCTGTCTACTATTTTGCATCACCCTTCTTTGAACAAACTCACATTTACACAAGTGATCAGGTCTGGTTGTGTTTTAGATCTGTAGAAAAAGATAAATCTGGGGGATGAAGCGCAAAACTGTAAATTATTCTTAATTCCCACGCACTTTTGAGAAGGTAGGAGGCAGCTAGCAGTTCAATTTGCATGAACAATTACTGGGGGGCAGGGGGAGGGAGTTTTAGGGAGGGATGAATCTGGAGATGGCATAATACATTTTCAAGGGCAACATCTTTTTTTCCATGACTGCTGAAACAGAAAGAAACAAAGAACGTGTGATTGTTTTCCAAGCGGTTTGAAGCAGCCCTCCCCAGCTGGGCATTCTCCGGATGTGTTAGGATTCTGACCCCCAGAATTCCCAGCTGGTGGGTCCAGAGGAGGTGGTTCTGGGTATTGCAGTTCTAACACGTCTGGTTGGGGGCCAGTTTAAGAACACAGGAAGTGTCCTTAACAAGAGAGATTAAAATTGGGTTTGCACATTGTGCTGAGCGAGAGTTTATTGACTTGAGCACAGTAGGCTGGATTTCTGCAACATGCTAAGCCATAAACCACAGTTTCCAGCTAGAATGGCAGCACCCCTCTCTGTCAGGACCACTTTGTATTATGGCTTTAAGGCAGGATGTGAACTCAGCCTCTTCCTCCACCTAGCCCGGCCTGTTGAATTATCTTTGGGGGCATCTTGGGCAGAGAACCAAGTTTCTCATTGTCTGCTACCTGGTCCTTTTGAAGGAAGAAATGGATGGTGCCGGTGATTCATAAGTGCAAATGCAGCTGACAAGCGCAAATGATTTCATTCTAAGTTGAAAGGAGGAAAAAGGCTTGGCTTGGCTCTCCGTTTCCCTGCCACCGTGTCCGTCCAAGTGTTGAATTAAAGAATTGTCTATTCGGTAGGGGTGAACGCCAGTACATCAGTCTGTTTAATTACTCTGGATTCTCCCCATGAAGTGCTTCTTGTGGGCATTGTTGGAGGAGAGGCGGGTCAGTTTAGGGTAGCCAAAGATCAGGAGGCGTCTGGCAGCACTTCTTCAGACCGTGTGAAGAGGCCGAAGCGCTCAGTTACTAAAGGGGCTGCCAGACTCCCGATTTCTGGCTCCCGTTAAGTCGTGGATTTCTACCTTATTTCTGATTACAGGGGCCACCTGATTTTAAGGCAGATGTGTATGTTGTCCTTATATGTGGTTTTGTGTATCTAAGATTGCAGTGACGTCCAGCGCGTGGAAAAACGTGGGCTGGGCTCCCGTGAACTGGGGCTCTTTCACTGGGCAAATGGCCAAGGTTTGGGGTTGCCCAGCGCAAGCACTGGGCTGCAAAGGGGGCAGTTTGCCCGTGGACGTGCTTTCGAAAGCACGAGTATCCGTTCCACTCTTCTGTCAAAGAAAAGGATCTTTGCCAGGGCAGGAAATACATAATCAGATTGCAGCGACACTTGAACATTTACTGTGGTGTAATAACGCAAGCGCTCTGCTGCTCGTAACAATAGCTTGTTCACATTTTGTTTCGGGACTGTCAGCCTAAAGACAAGGGGCAGGCAAAGGCAGCTGTTTTATTCTTTACTTCTTTTTTTAACAGCTCTTGCTTTCGGCTGATGCTCCGGATAACGCCCGGGAGCTCTGCTTTTTTTCTTTTATTCAAAGCCGCCCATTCTGTGTCAAATGCAAACTGCAATGTCCCCACAGCTCTTTTCCAACCCAAACCCTCGTCGTCCTGTGTCACGGTGAGCATGGAAAGCGATTTCTCGCTCGTTTCAAAGTTACTCGTCCACAAACCTCTTGCTGAGGGTGTGCAGCCTCGAGGCTGCCAACGGTTTGTTGCTGATTCTCCTGCCGGAGTCCTCCCGAGCCATTCGCCATCTCCGGGAGCCTGGCTCAATGCTGTGCACTGGCCGGGTCTAATCTCACCACATCGCTGCAGAGTTCGGGGGGGGGAGTGTTAGCCGAACAGTTGGTGTCAGCTCATTTCCCTTCACATCTTGATTAGCAAGGTACAAAAGTGGGGGTTGGTTTTCCGGGATTCATTAAACGTGCTCCGTTGGAGACCCCAAAATACACCAGCAGCTGTTTTCCTTGCTGGCAGGATCTGCCGCGAGGGGGGCTTTTCAAAAACCGAGCGGCTTTATAAATAGGGATCCAGTTCACATTCAGCAGCCGTTGGCATCGACCTGAAGGACGCCTGAGACAGGGCTTCTCAGCCTCAGCAGCTTGAAGCTGTGTGGACTTCAACTCCCAGAATTCCCCAGCCAGCATGGAATTCTGGGAGTTGAAGTCCA